GGCCGGGCCCCGCCCGCTCCCGCGCAGAGGCCACGCTGCGGGCGAGGGGCTCCCGCGCGCCACTCACCCGCCCACGGAGCTAAGCGAGGCCGCTCGGCTCGTCGGGCCCGGGACCCAGACCCGAGAACTCCTAAGAAGCGCCGCCCGGAGCAGCTCAACTTTCGGCCTCCCCACATCTCGGCAAAGGGTCCCACTCGTTTTCCGGTCCGTCTTGCAAAACAGCCTCAACAGAAAAGTTCCGAGACTTACTCGCGCCCTCTACAGCTGACTTTCAGGATTTGATCACCGTTAACAAAACGATTAAATGTTCTAACGCTGTAAATATTCTTCTGCCTAATTCTATATGACCTAACATCATAATCATTATTCCATGCCTTTATCCCTTCATTTTTAACGTCTTCCCAAGGACATTCATCCTCATAGAAGGCTTTACAGCTTAAAATTACAAAAGAATGGAAGCATTTCTCTAAGGGGAGTGCTGTTTCTTTCAAGACGTTCAACAGGGATGGCAGAAGCCCTACTTTCAGCTCTTCTGCAAGTGACCTAATATCCTGGACAGCAGAAAAATATAGCAGAGGTTGGTAAGCACTGTCTGGGCAAACCTTGTTCAGAGCTACAGCTGTCACCATTTTACCCCTGAATGTATAAAATGTCTTCCCTTAGGCAAAAATAAAAAATTTCCAACATTAAATATTCTATTTTCAACAGGCAGGGTCAAAAAGAAAAAGGATTTGAATTGGTAATGTTTCATTACTCTGGAATAATCTTTCACCCATGTCTCCTGACCTAAAAATACTGGCCTTTCCCCCAAGAGTGGGTGCAAACTTGTGTCTTCAGAGGCACCTCTCCTTAGATACATAACCATTTCGGCAAAAACAAAACTACCAAAGCCCCCCGCCCCACGAAAGCATGTTTTGTATTTGTTGGGGTGACAGATCGAAAGAAAAAAGTCCAAATATGATTAAAGTATTAAGGCCTTTATTTAAACACACTGTACTTTCTTTGTACCACATCCCACTGGATTCCAGAGCCTTCACTACATTTTCAGTTGAACAAAGACAACCAACGATTTACTTTAATGGGAAGCAAAAGCTTTCTGAATTCCCAAAACTAGTTTGGCCCAGATACATAAAACTGGTTCATTGTATTTTTCACTACAAACATTACAAAGCCTTTAAAATAACCCTTAAGTTTTCAAGTTTTTGGCTTAATGTAGGCTGTTAGAGACACTTTCCAAACTACCTTTAAAGTCTCATCCATAAACATGGTGTAGTCTACAAATTGGTCTTGCTAGAAAACTTGTAACACCTATTTACCATTTTACAATTTTATACTTTTATAAAAAGTCGTGCTTTAGCAGTTAAGTTTTATCTCTTAAAAATGAATTCTTATTCAAAAAACCTATGTGAACTGATAATTAAAACAGTTGTGCACTATCATAATCAGAATGTGGCAGATTGAAGCAATGTGTTTACAAGCAAACTCTTTTAAGATACCAAATAAACTTTTATGTTACAAGTTTAATTCATGTCACATGTGTTAAGGCTAATAAAACGCACTTGTTTCTCTGGTGTGAGAAAAAAGTGTAAATAAGGACCAAAATGTATAACAGACGTTGGAAAATGGGAAGAGGGGGTGGAGTAAAAAAGGTACAATGGAAACAATGATTTTGTAAAAGAAGGGTTGGAGGGAAGAGAGGGGATTGAGAGAAAAAAAAAAAAGAACCAAGATACATTATATACAGATAAAAATTTCCTATGGTGAATGTGATATATATTAGAAAGCTCATTTTCTCACAGATGACAACCAAATGATATTTTAAACTAAGAACTTTCACCTTCCTGGCAAGTACAAGGCCCTTAGTTCAATTCCTAGTTAAAAAACAAACAAACAAAAAAAAAAAACAAAACAAAACACCAACAACTAAGGAACATAAGTTCTTCAAGTGCCAAACACCTTAGAGATCATTTAATTCCTTTACTTTTTTTTTTTTTTTTTTTGTGGAACTGGGGATTGAACTCAGGCCCTTGTGCTTGCCAGGCAAGTGCTTATTCTACTGACCCATCTCCCCAGCCCCTTAATTCCCTTCTTGAAGTTGAGACTCACAGCAATTTAGTGATCTTTGCAACACATCAAATTAGCAAAGCCAGGGCACTCCAGCAAATCTACCTGCTTCCATTAAATTATACTTGTTACATTTGAGAGATTTCAACAAATTAAAATGAACTTTATATAGAAAAGAAAGTTGGAATGTGAAGGTGGCCATAAGGCAATATTACAGTACCTTTGGAACTAATACAATTCTGATGTAAAAATCTCTAAAATTTTAGGAACTCACCATTATTACACTTCATGTCTTTGAGGAAATAAAATAATAAACTAAAAACAGACTGGGGAAATTTACCTCCTGTGTGTCACACTATTAGAAATACACACTACCAACTAAGAACACATTTCATTTTACAATGGCAGAAAACAAGTACGCTGAAATTCCACACCAATCTTTATTTGTATTTTGGGGGTCTGAAACAAATCTTAGAATTTTTTCCAAATTACATTTTATTCTCTAAATGGTGTGGTTTACCCCCACCATAAAAGCAAGCATGATTAATACACTAGATATATTTTTCAAGAGAATCTCTTGAGGAAAACAGATTTTACTGACAAATTGGGACCAACGATTACCTCCAAAGAAGTATGAATTTCTTGGTGGTGTCATATTATAAAAAACTGACAACTAAGTTACATGTTTTGACATTCACATCCTAAATTATGGAAGCTCTATTTCATATAACCTTTCCAAACACTTCAGTCAAGGAAGTGGTGAATGTTCTGTTTTTCATAAAATATGAAAAACCCAAGTATCTAATTATAACACTGACATTTACTATTCACAATTGTCATTTTTCCATCTATAGATTTAATGGATATGAAGCTTGCAAATCATGGTAGAGTAGATAAAACTGTCAAATACTACTTTTAAGTCAAGTTTGTATTTTGTCCAAAAATGTGTATATCATAGCCAACAGAATTTTTCTGTATAATTTTATTTTGAAAATAGTATTTCACTTGAAGATTGATCTAAAAAACATTTTAGGATAGGAAAATGTTATACAACTTATCTATTACAAATAATCAGATAATTCTTCAATTGGGTACACTTCAGTTAGCTGACTTATGTAAAAAATATTGCACATTTTTCTCATCTCCATGTATAACTGATCTAAACCATACAGAATTACAAACTATTTTAAAATTATTCTGTGAAATGTCAACTTTATAAATATCAGAACTAAATGCACTGTAAACAGCCATTTTGGTAAACATGCATTTATTCACAGTTTACTTCCTTTAGATAAATGCATAAAATAAACCTTATGTAGAGGTACAAGAGCACACTATACAAATCTATTTTTATCTTCATTTTGAGGAAACACTGATCTTGGCAAAAATCTGGCATTATTTTTAAAATGAACTATTGCTGGTAAGAAGGCATACTTTAAAACTGTCTTGTGTCCTGACCTGCTTTTTAAAATAAAATATAAAAGCATTTGTTTTGAGAGATTGATCTACCACTGTATAAGTGCATAACCATGAAAAATGGACCCTGATAGCAGCCGAGCACTAAAGCTAAAATGCCTGGAGAGCCCCAGAACTCAAACTGTGAGTGCTTTAACTTGGACCACCCACTGATCAAAATTTTTAGAGACTGACAAACCCAGATCATTTTAATGTTCTGTAATTCAGACAAACCTGCGTAACACAGCACTTCTCCACTGGGTTGAGTTCACTTATACTTTTAAAAATATAAATATACTGAATTTTAAGTCCTCTATAGTAACCCATGGTGTTTTAATATACCTCTAAAACACAAGTGGGTAAAATAAAGTGGGTGTAAAATATAGTGTCCAGACTTTACTATTAGTGTCAAACACAATTTGTCATTACAAATAACTATACTGATGCACTGGCTCAATTGAGTCCAGCAACTTCATTTTACAAGCATAAACTGTTTATCTTACACACTGAAAATTCCCAAAGTAAGAAGTTTTGAAAGGTGATCAAATGCTTCCAAGTGAAAACCAAAGGTTTATTTCTGGCCCTCTTCCACACCTTTTAAAGGGTTGAATTTGACAGAAGTCCATGGGTACATTTTACAAACTTTGACAAACTGTTTTAAAACTGAAGTTAAAACCATTTTTCTTTGTGGGAGGTGGAAGGATGTACCTTTAAAACCTGTTATACAAAATTCCAGCTGCCTTTTTAGAAAAGTATGTTCCTTAGATTAAAATTATAAAATTAAGGTGCAAGAGTTTTAACAAAAATGAACTAAAGAGCTTTATTGACATCACAGTACATTCAAGAATAAGTTTAAGAACATTACAGCTGAAAGAGAATGGCATGTTTATAGTCTTATTATGCTCTATTTTTTGAAAAAAGTGTAATACAAAGAAATCCTATTAAGTAACTTGGAGCAGCATTTGGAAAAAGTACACCTATTTACAGATTAAAAAAAAAAAAGATTCTGGTTTCACCTACAGCCACAATGTGCCTCTATAATGAGACAAGCCCTTAAAACTCATGGAATTTTTTAAAACATCATGGCATGCTTGCCACATCATTCCTCAGTGCTTACGACGGGGAGGGGTTGTCGATCTGCAAAAAAAGGGAAAAGACAAAATTTAAAAATAAACATGTATTTTAAACTAAAAATCTGCAATTTTAAATAAATACTATTATATAGGATTTCTAACATTATTTAAGCTATGATCATTTATCAAGAACCAAACTGACTTTTTATTAAAGAGAGAGAGAAAGGACACTTTCAACTTTGAATAAATTCAATTTAAAAAAAAATCAGACAAAATACTTTAAAAAGTATACTACCTTGATCGGGACTTAGACTTGTGTTTGCGGCTTGCCTTCTTACCAGACCTTTGAGATTTCTCCATGGATCGCGATCGACTATGTTTAGGCTTCTTAGCCTTCTTTTCTTTGCTACTTCCTGGAGATTCAGAACTGCTCCTTCCACTAGAATCAGAGCCTGAATGCTTTTTACTATCTT